GTACAGTCCGTATATTTGCTGCTTCAAAACTAAAAACCTGTTTTTTGTTGATCTTTCACCAGTTTTATCATGATTTATCCAGCTATCGCCGGTGTTGTTAGTTACGAAGGTATACTATACCCAATAGTACTCTTGGGTCAGCCAACATGGCAATGGAAACTAATTACCAAATTTGCACGATGTTCATCGATCTTCCACTTGAAGATCGTCATTTTCCTTGGTGATTTTCCCTCACCATGTTGAAGGCTCGGACAGGAAAAATGCTGCTGCAAGCACATTTGCCGTAATAATTATTCAAGTTGTACCTGACATGTGAAGGCAATATATCGCTTGCTGGATACCCGGCCGTACCCGATTTCTGGTGAATATTCTCTTGCTGGCTTGCTGATATTCAATGTTGGTGGATCACGCACAATCATGTTTTTCTGGATAGGTTCAACACCAATCAAACTATTGGTTTCATTGCCAGTTCAAGGTGATAAAATCCACATTTTCGTTGAAATTAGTTGATAAATGGAGAGAAAAGCAACTGTTGTATTCCTTGTTGGTAAATTCTGCAGATCTTATGGTGGTAGCCTTCAACTTTCTCTTGGCTAAACTATAATAAAAGTCCCATTGATTTAGCAAAAATACATGTTTTTCGTTGGTGAAATCTCCATGTTTCAGGGTTGCTCCCAACATCCCTGTTTCAAGGAGGCAAAGTGGCCGAGACCGTGACATGCCCGGCCAAATGCTCCCTGCGTTTCGCCTGCGAAACGAATCGGCGCCATGGTCAATGTATTGTGGTGGTGCAACCATGGTGAGAGAAGCCCCAGAAGTTGGGGTATATAATTATATACCACTAATGTATGTACCATTATAACCCTGCTAATGTACGTATGTAAAACTAGTTGGGTATAAGGTATAGCATGGTAAAATGTAAAACGATATTATCCACTTGCTACTCAAGTGGAACTGCACCGCCAAGTGCGGAGTTATTTAGATGGGCTCTGGAGTTAGTCAACTGTAGCAGCTGGCTGGATGGCATTGCATGAAAGAATATGAAGTAGTTGTCAATTATCCAAACATCGTGAAACGTCATGAAGTACCATAAGAACGTATTGTTGATCTCGTAAGCAATGTATTGTTGGCATATACCATCATATACCATGAACTATCATGCATGAACTACGAATGAATCATCAATATCATTGACAAGTATCAGTAAATACATGGTATAACATCACCAACAACCCTGAAACAGTGTCTCCAAAGCATTGGCATGTCTAGGGGAAAATTCACTAAAAATCGCCGGTGGATTTAGGACTTATACCGTATACCCCATTTTCAGACCATTTCAGGTCCAACCGTCCAACCCCATCCGCTCTCCCAAGCGCAACGCGGATCCCATGGGTCCCCCATTCCCTCCTGATGCACGGGCGAGGGTGCGCTGCTGGCGGGCGAGGCCACAGAGAGCGGCGAGGGGAAGCCCTGCGCGGCGAAGGACGCAGCGCGGTCCAGGGTGAGGATCAGGTCCTCCAGGGCGCTGGGCGCCGAGCAACGAAAAAATGGGGGATTTAGCCTCTGGTGCCTGGTGATTTTCCAGTTCGCTATGTTACTAGAGGGATGATGAAAAAGGTCAGGTCTAGGATCCGGTGGTGCCAATTTCATAAACCATCCCCAAATCAACATTTTGATGGGTCCTATGTTTACCATCGCCAAATTTTGGGTTTCCCACACTCTAAATGAGAATTTTTGGTGGTTTCTCAGCTGAAAAGAATGGGGAAAACTCGGGAATTTGGTCGGAGATGACCAAGAGAACTCCCAAGAATCACCCAGGGGATGACCATGGTTGGAATAAAATAGCTGTGTTTTGCTGGTGCACATTGATGCGTCACTGAAATGCTGGGGGTTCGAAAATATGTTCATCAATATAATTATCCAAAAAAAAAATCCCCAGCAAAATGTCTCTTAATTCCCATGATGTACCCTTATATTCCCATGATGGTTGGTTCATGTCCGTTTTATACCACATTTTTTGGTGGTCAGATCACCGGTTGTACTTTTGGCATCTTGTGGCAATTTATAGATGCTTTTGGGGTTGTTTAAACCCTTGTTGTATTGTTTCCATTTTCCTAGTTGTAGCACATGTTTTGACGGAAAAAAATCTGAAAAAAACGTTTTTGGGTTGGCTGAATCCCCATTTATGTCCATTTATGGAACCTTAAAAGTGGGCTTAAATATATGGTTAAATGTGGTTAACTGGTAGATAACGTGTCAAGACTGGGGTTGATGAAGGGGTTGATTCAACACGGATGTAGATCCCAGAGGGCATTGTGCCGCCTGTGCCTGAAGATTTGATCCGAAAACATCCGTCCCGTCATCACTGCACCAAAAATCTCTGCACGAGAAATTCAGAAAATATAAAAAAAAAATCGGATCAAACATATCACAGAAATGCAGCTGACGGGGCACCCTCTCGTAATCTAACCTTCCACTCAAAAAAAAAATCGGCAAATTACTCTCCTTCACTGGTGATTTCCAATCGCCATATTTCACCCTCAATTTTTTCGGATTCCGTATTTTCCATCGGATTTACCATGGTTTTCCCTATGTTCCCATGGGATTTTGCCCGGCGGCCCGGCGGCAAAATCCTCCACCAAAATCACCGCCAGCTCCGCATCCGTGCTCGATTGGACCATCCCCACGTGCACGGCGGCCAGGTCCACGTCGAACTGAAGGCGGCAGCTGTTCACCAGCAGCGCCTAAGAGCGACCCTTGGAATCCGGGAAAATGTGGTATGAGCAATTTATGATCTATATGTGATCTATATATGATCTACATATGATCTATCTATATATATATGTGATTATATGATCTATATATGATCTATATATGCTCCATATGTGGTCTATATATGATCTATATATGATCTATACATATGATCTACATATGATCTATATATATATATATCTATATATGATCTATATGTGATCTATATATGCTCTATATATGATCTATCTATATATATATATGTGATTATATGATCTATATATGATCTATATATGCTCCATATGTGGTCTATATATGATCTATATATGATCTATACATATGATCTACATATGATCTATATATATATATCTATATATGATCTATATGTGATCTATATATGCTCTATATATGATCTATATATGATCTATATATGATCTATATATGATCTACATATGATCTATATATGCTCTATATGTGATCTAAATATGATCTACATATGATCTATATATGCTCTATATGTGATCTAAATATGATCTATATATGATCTACATATGATCTATCTTTATAGATATATATGTGATTATATGATCTATATATGATCTATATATGCTCCATATGTGGTCTATATATGATCTATATATGATCTATACATATGATCTACATATGATCTATATATATATATCTATATATGATCTATATGTGATCTATATATGCTCTATGTATGATCTATCTATATATATATGTGATTATATGATCTATATATGATCTATATATGCTCCATATGTGGTCTATATATGATCTATATATGATCTATACATATGATCTACATATGATCTATATATATATCTCTGTATATGATCTATATGTGATCTATATATGCTCTATATATGATCTATATATGATCTATATATGATCTACATATGATCTATATATGCTCTATATGTGATCTAAATATGATCTATATATGATCTACATATGATCTATCTATCTATATATATATGTGATTATATGATCTATATATGATCTATATATGATCTATATATGATCTATATATGATCTATATGTGATCTATATATGATCTATCTATATAAATATATATGATCTGTATATGATCTATATATGATCTATATATTATCTATATATGATCTATATATGATCTATATATGATCTACATATGATCTATCTATAAATATATATATATGTGATTATATGATCTATATGATCTATATATGCTCCATATGTGGTCTATATATGATCTATATATGATCTATACATATGATCTACATATGATCTATATATATATATATATCTATATATGATCTATATGTGATCTATATATGCTCTATATATAATCTATATATATATATATAATCTATATATGCTCTATATGTGGTCTATATATGATCTATATATGATCTACAAATGATCTATATGTGATCTATATATGAACTATATGTGGCCTATGTATGATCTATAATGATCTTCATATGTGATCTATAATGATCTATATATGATCTATACATATGATCTATATATGATCTAACAATGATCTATATATGATCTATATATGAACTATAATGAACTATTTATGATCTATAAATGATCTATATATGATCTATATATGCTCTATGTATGATCTATATATGATCTATATATGATCTGTATATGATCTATATTTGATCTATATATGATCTATATATGCTCCATATGTGGTCTATATATGATCTATATATGATCTATACATATGATCTAGATATGATCTATATATATATATCTATATATAATCTATATGTGATCTATATGTGATCTACATATGATCTATCTATATATATATATATGTATATGATTATATGATCTATATATATGATCTATATATGATCTACATATGATCTATCTATATATATATATATATGTGACTATATAATCTATATATGATCTATATGTGATCTACAAATGATCTATGTATGATCTATATATGATCTATAAATAATCTATACATGATCTATATATGATCTATAATGATATATATGATCTATAATGATATATATATATATATATGATCTATATATGATCTATATGTGGTCTATATATGATCTATATATGATCTATACATATGATCTACATATGATCTATATATGATCTATATATGATCTATATATGATCTATATGTGATCTCTATATGACCTATATGTTTTGATTATAATATGTGATAATATATATATATCATATATGGTACACATGATAGATTGAATCTTTGGAAGTGGGTGGGTTGCAAATGCATTGCGAGGTTGCTGTCACTGCATCGATGAGCTCCAGACTCCCAGCATCGAGATGAGCATCGGAGTGTTACTGGGTTATTTTCTAGTCACTCATGGGTCCTTTTTTTCCCATCATGACATATTATGTTAATTCATTGTTATTCATTGTTTGTGCATTTCAATGATCCAAAATGATCTAAATATGCGGCGTTGTTGTAATTGTTTCTTTAAACGATTCTTGATATTCTAGAATGCGGGGTCATAGTGATGGCTTTATTTCCTGAGAAGTGACCGCTTCAACAAAAGGCTGGAAGCAAGCAACAACTTCAGTGTCTGATGATGTCATCCCAGTGGCTCCAGAAACAGAGCTCTAGAACAGTTTTTGCAAGCCTTTCCCATCTGCAAGAATGCATTTGGGGAAGCATAAGAAACCATCCATGTCAAATCATTAGCTTTCAAGAGTTTCCGCCACTATGTCCTTACAACACCACTCTAAATCCTATTATATAACATCCCAGAAATAATCTACAAGGCGTCGACTTAACAGGCGCATCACCCCTAATTTAGGCGCATGGGATGTGTCGCAGGCCACTCAATTCGTAGCTCCATGGCTCCCCATTAATTTGTCATTGGCTCCATGATGTGGTAAACCCAATTAACCATAAACCATCCCATTAACCAACCATTTGAGGCTTCATCTAAGTTCATCATCTTCAAATACGGGGTATACCCAAGTTCATCAACATTCGTTGGGGATGGTTATTCCTTGGGTTTGGTACAGTATATTCCCACGAAGTGTTGGTTCCCCATGATTTCATAGCTAATTTGACTCTTGACCCATTTCCATCTGTCAGCCAATGGCATTACATCATCTTCAGTCAGGGCTAATGTCAACCCGGGTACTCCCCAAATAGTGATAATCTGATGCTTAAATGACACCCTAATCAAACAACCTAGGGGGCTATACTCTCCAGGCTTGACCCATAATAATACCATGCTATACCCAAATCATCCAAAAAGGGTCAACCCTGAATTCATACCATTGTATTTTTGAGTATACCATGGTATACCCATACCTAAAATGCCATGGGATACCTCAAATGTTAATCAAAAAATCTTTGATTGCCCACAGAAAATTGAATCTTGTGCGGGTGATTTTCCACTAATAGCACCAAAAACATCCAAAAACCATCAAACAATTAGATCAATGAGTTTCCATCCAGTTGGGGATGTCGAAATTTCATGAAATTTCATCCCCCCCTTTTTTTAAAGGGACAGTGACCCACCATGGCAGCCTCCCCACCGCATCCTTCAAGGCACCGCCTGCCGGGCCGCCTGCAGCAGGTACGGGGGAATCAGCTCCCGCAGCACCCGGCCGATCTGACGCAGCTCGGCCAGGCGCAGCTGCCAGCTGCGGGGCTCGAACCTGGGACCCGACCATGGCGCCCAGGGATGGGAAAAATGCCAGGGATTTCCGGGAAAAATCATGGATTTTTCAGGATTGTTGCAGCATGTTTCAGAATATTTTGAGAACTAATCTATGAAATAATGGGAAAAATAATATGTGACCATGTTTTCAACATATCTAAGAACATAATTATATGATATGGGCAACATCTAGATTTGTTCAAAAGAAATATAGGCCATTCCCGAGAAGTAGTTTTAAAGGACCACGGCACAAAATCTGGGAAATCTCGCTATGGCGCAGCAAATTTGTGCCAAGGCACTCGGTGGTGCGATGTGGCCGGCAGCGTGGTGGGGAGCTACAACTGGTCCAGTCCGGAGGGTCGCCTCATTGAAGCTGGTGAAGCTATCAACATTATCAACCCAGTCCCGAGAGCGTTTGGTTGGACAACAACCTTTATGGTTAGATATAGAACTACTAGTAGGGGGGAAAAAAACTGTGGCATCTTGCAGCTGCTCAAGTTAGCTCAAGTTAGCTCCCAGCTCCGGCCTAAGCCTCGAGGGAAACATACAAATACCCTGGGTTTTAGTGGGGTGCACCAGGCAATTTTTGTGGATTGAACCATCCCAGTGGTGGGATTTGTGTGTACCAGCAAAAGTAAGGGTTTGACAGTTTGACAGTTAAAACTTTGGTTAGAAGTTGACCAGCAAAAAAATGAGGTAAATATAGAGGCTACTGAGATGTGCATCTCATGGAGAGTTCCCCCAAGTGTAAAATGTGTAAAGGAAATAAGCTCGGTTGACAGATTCTACCCTCTGGCAATTCAAAATAGCTATTGAAAATTCTCATGTCTAGTTGATTTACCTATTGAAAGTTGTGGATTTTCCACAGCTATGTTAGTTTACCAGAGGGGGTTCCCGCATCGCTATCGGCTTGGCTTGAACCATCCATAAAATGTTGGATCTTTGGGGATGTCATTGAACACCGACAAAACATTGGCATAGGAAATAATGAGAAGTGCTCCGGGGTTGCTGATGGTTGCCGCGGACACTGGGAAATTGCTATACATATATACTTATATATTATGTAGTTGATTCGGATCATCATTGCGGCAGAATGGTCAATAAAAATATGTAATATGTTGTAATTATCAGAGGAAATCACCATGACTCAATGATCCTGGTTTAAGTTGCAAACTGGTGGGTAAATGACTCAGAGTCGTAAATGACTTTCAGGGCATATTCGAAATCACCAATCAACCAGTCAATCCAATCCCATCCCATCCCATCCCACTCATCTATTCAACTTTGCACAGCTGAAGTGCAAACCATCATTCAAAATCAGCCAATTTTTTTGTGAAACGAAGCAACATCTTTCTGGGCAAATTATGATAATTCACTAACCTGAAACTTGCGGTCATTTTGGGATTCGATTCCCCTTAACATCCTTAACCATGTTTCCAATGAGGGAGAACAGGCTTCGGTCGTGATCAAATTTACCCAGATCCAGTCGTGGTTGTTCCCTCTGCAAACAAAGGTGCCGAAAATCGTTGCCAGTTCCGAATCCAAGGCCTTGAGGTACCGCCAAATCCTGGCGAAACCCGCCGGGTTTTGCCAGTTTTTGGCCCATTGGTGTGGATTGCTATAGGCAGCATACGTAAGATATGCTTTAAAAATGCTTAAAATGGTTCAAAGAAAAACACACTATATGCTGTAAATATATCATATTTATAGCATAATCTAAATACGTATACTTATTAGAATAACAAGCAATATATTCAAGATGTTTAAAAAAAAACTAACCTGTATAATTAATATTAATTAATACTAAGTACCGATCTAAGGTTTGGCATGGTGTGGCTATTTTTGATGTTGGAGGATCTTTTTGGCGGGATTCCTTCACAGCTGGACAAGCCATTGTTGACGCCAAGTAATTGGGTGATATCTACCCCATATGTACAATACTTTTATGGAAGATCAAGATGCACTTTTGAAATTGAACAGAAATTGGTGTAACGAATAACGTCCTCAGATAGAAAAAGTATTCATTTGGGGTTGTTTCGTAGGCCATTTACCGATTGTTTCAGGAAAATGGGGGGGAATTTGATATCCTCATCCAATCTACTAATCCCATCCGATTCTGGAAAATTTACAGGAACCTCCCATATTTAATGGTAAAAACCATGGTTTCCTGTAGATTTTCCCTTAAACCAACCCAAGGATAATAGTTCCTCAATTTTCCAGCCGCCTCCTCCACCCTTGACCCCACGGGATCGCAGCCTTAGGAAAAGTGGCACATGCTCCGTCTTGAGCGACACCTGCATGCCAAATGCAAGTCACATTTGCCATTATGCTGGGTACATAAATGTATACTACCGCAACAGTGTGCTATTGACAATGGCCCATGAAAATAGATGATTTGTGATGATTTACCATTAAACATTCGTGATTTTCCAGTTCGTTACGTTAAATCACCAGTAGACCAGAGGGATCCAGAGGGTATATATTAAATATTAGATTGTTAGAGTATCTAGCAACCTCAAATGCCAATTGTCTTGATGATGCGTCATTATCCGTCAATATAATATGCAAACCAGGGGAGGAAGGAACAAGATCTTTGAGTATTCACTGAGAACAATTAAAGACCCAGGGCCCAGGAGAATGCAATTTGGGGTCATGTGTACTGATCAAAATCTAATTTACCCAGTTTTGATCCATCCCGTTACCAAGGATCCTGAGTGATGATGAAAGCCTGCATCCCTCCCTAATCCACATCAAACGAGCTGAATCATCGCAGCCCCACATGGCAAACCAAGCAAAAACAAACATATTTACCCTAAAGCAGATGATATCAATATCTATTGATATCTCTCTAATCTAAGCCTTGCATACTTGCTGCTTCATCCCACTTAGTTTTAACCCCAATCCCAATGGATAAACCCCACTACCCCAGGGTGAACCTATCCGGATGAGCCAGAAGCCAAGACACCGAAATGGGCGCCACCTCCAAACGCCCCGTAAGACTGGGAGGCTCGGGGCACAGCTCCGCGTCCATCCGGAAGCGCATGGAGTGGAGGATGGTGGATCCATCAACCTGTCGCTGGCTATCTGATAGCAGGAACAACGTGCCGGTGCCCCTAAAAAAATGGCAAAGATTGCTATGCCTTACCTAAGTATACAAAATTAGGGGTATGGACATGCGTATGTTAAATTGCATGTGTCATGTACTCAGAGATGTCTGCAGCGTCCCCAGTTGGAGAACCCCCCCAATATCTCTATATGGTTATGACATGGTTCGCGGGTACCAAATTACTTTACTTCGAGTTATCCCCACCATGACATCTATACGTTTTGTTACTGGCAAATCTTCTGGCATTCTATCTGACATATCTTCTGGCATTTTATCTGGCATATCTTCTGGCATTCTATCTGGCATATCTTCTGGCATTCTACCTGGCATATCTTCTGCAATATGTTCTGGCATATCTTCTGGCACTCTATCTGGCATATCTTCTGGCATATCTTCTGGCATTCTATATGGCATATCTATCTGGCACTTTATCTGGCATTCTATCTGGCATATCTTCTGGCATTCTGGCATATCTTCTGGCATTCTATCTGGCATATCTTCTGGCATTCTATCTGGCATATCTTCTGGCATTCTATCTGGCATATCTTCTGGCATTCTATCTGGCATATCTTCTGGCATTCTATCTGGCATCTGGCATTCTATCTGGCATCTGGCATTCTATCTGGCATATCTTCTGGCATCTGGCATATCTTCTGGCATTCTATCTGGCATATCTCATGGCATATCTGGCATATCTTCTGGCATTCTATCTGACATATCTATCTGGCATATCTTCTGGCATTCTATCTGGCATATCTTCTGCATTTTATCTGGCATATCTTCTGGCATTCTATCTGGCATATCTCATGGCATTTTATCTGGCATATCTTCTGGCATTCTATCTGACATTCTATCTGGCATATCTTCTGGCATTCTATCTGGCCGTTGAGGTCCAGCGGTGCAGACTGAGCTGGGCAGGTCCCAGGTTGAGGTCCAGCAGTGCACACTGAGCTGGGAAGGTCCCAGGTTGAGGTCCAGCGGTGCACACTGACCAGGTTGAGGCCCAGCGGTGCCCACTGAGCTGGGAAGGTCCCAGGTTGAGGTCCAGCGGTGCACACTGAGCTCGGACGTTGGCAAAGAGCTTGGCGAAGAGCTGGCAAGGCAACAGTGGACGTGGAAGTGGAGGCAGAGGTGGTGGAGGAGATGCTGGCGGAGGAGGAGCAGGAGGAGCAGGAGGAGGATAGCTAGCCGAGGAGGAGGAGAACAACTGTGATAAAATCTAACAACCCTCACCTGGAAGGTGGGGAAAAATGGATGGTTAATACCAACAAATGACCAAACATCGCATGATCGTTTTGACCCACCCCGATATCTTCAGAGAAGGCATTCCTTTTTGGACCTTTGGTTGTGTACCATGTTATATCGTTGCGATATCCATAGTTGTGGTAAAATCCACAAATAGTATAGCTACAATAATTTTCCAGATGATTCAACTATTTGCATAGTTATGATTGGGATATTTCCAGTTAACAATTATTGGAAATAATCCAAACTATTCTACAATAGTTCACAATAGCTATGCAGTGCATGGAATATTTCCACTTATCCCCAAGTTGATAACCCTGAGAATTAGCCATTCTTAATCCCAACTTTTGGGGGATTAGAACCATGGTCGCCACTTAATCTCGACTGCAGCCCGAAGTAGCCAAGGAAAATCATCATGAATCACCCCCAAATCACCTATAAATCACCATCTTTGTTGGTTAAATATGGTTTAATCATCATTTTCCCCGGTGAAATCACCATTTTCTCCAGTTGAATTACCATTTGTCATGGGTAAATCACAATTTACCTCCATCTTCTCATGGGTTTTTCATGGGTAAATCACCTTTTTCTCCAGTGAATCATATGTTCTTACTTAGTTGGGGGATGTTTTTTCCCCACTGCGGGCCAGGCACCTTGGGCACCACGGAACAGCTCTGCGACGCCTCTGCGGCGAAGAGTTTGGAGACGAAGCAGCGCGAACGGAGCTGCCGGAAGGACCAGAGCAGCGAGCAACTGACGAAGATCCCTGGAGAAAGGTGCGAAATTTATGGGGCCAACGATATATATGCATGTATGTATGTATGTATGTATTAACTATGTATTAACTATGTATTAACTATGTATTAACTATGTATGTATGTATGTATGTATGTATGTATGTATGTATGTATGTATGTATGTATGTATGTATGTATGTATGTATGTATGTATGTATGTATGTATGTATTAATTTGTATGTATGTATGTATGTAATATGTATGTACGTATGTATAGATGGATGGACGGATGGATGGATGGATGGATGGATTGTATTTAATGTATGTAATGTACGTAATGTACGTAATGTACGTAATGTACGTAATGTATGTAATGCATGTAATGTATGTAATGTATGTAATGTTATGTTATGTAATGTAATGTAATGTAACGATGTATGTATGTATGTATGTATGTAGGTAGGTAGGTAGGTAGGTACGTAGGTATGTATGTACATACGTATGTATGTATGCATGTGTATTTTTTTACAGAATGTAATAATATATAGTTATATACATATACACATTGCAATATGTATAAATATTGTAGAGTTATAGACATAATGTCTATAACACTATATCATATATATGGGGGTTGTCCAAAATACCTTTTCCCGGACAGCCCTCAATCGCTCAGCCAATCGCGTAGCAACCGCGGTACCACAGTGAGCAATCGCGGAAGGGTTTGTTCTTCGTTGATCAGATCATATACATAAAATATAAGTTATGTATTATATAATGAGGATCCATGCGTGAACGCATTCGATTTCAAATTTGGGAACAAAATAAGCTCGCGCGGTCCGGAAACGGTCCGGAAAACTCACAGTAGTACCAGCAGCAGTAGTACTAGTAGTACTAGTAGTACTAGTAGTACTAGTAGTACTAGTAGTACTACTCGTACTAGTAGTAGTAGTAGTAGTAGTAGTAGTAGTAGTCGTAGTAGTCGTAGTAGTCGTAGTAGTCGTAGTAGTAGTAGTAGTACTAGCAGTAATAGTAGTAGTAGTAGTAGTAGTAGTAGTAGTAGTACTAGTACTAGTACTAGTACTAGTAGTAGTAGTAGTAATAGGGTGGTAGCCGTATAACCAATCGCCAACCAATCGCTCAGCCTATCGCGATGCAGGTTTTAGCAATCGCGCAAAGCAAAGTAAACGCATCAATTCATAAATTTGTGACCTGCTTTTACGGACGGCTCCCATATATATATATATACGTATAGATTAAGTTGTAATTGGATGATAGTGGAATATCATGATGGGATATCAAGTGGTAGGAATAGTGATGGGACATTGGACATGATCGATATCATCATGGAAGATACTGACATCAATCACTGTACATGGTTCATCGGTGGGCCATAGAATGGGCCGACCATAGACTATATGCATACTTCATACCCATATTATCATAAAATCATATCATAACTTGATTTATCATATACATATTATAATGAGTTTTTGAATTTTGAATGGGATAAAGGTTCTTATTCTATTATTATTAATTATTATGAGTTCGGAGGTGGTGCGCAATGGCGGATTTACCAGCAAAGCAGCAACCAGCAAACATCTTCAATCAGGCCTTTGGGATCTTGTGTGCACGAGCTGGGCAAGAAAAACGACAGCTGTGCAAAGCTGAAGTGAAGATCCACATTCTGCAGGCAGTTCTCCCAATCTCCAAGCAGTCCTAGGCCGACAGGGCGAGGGGGCGAGGCCGATCTGGAGACAGCTGATGTTTTTATGGCTGAACTTTGAGTCACTAGATCCTATATGATTTTATGGTGGTCAACCATGTTTCATGATTTTTCTGGGAGCTGTTTTGATGATGGTTCAACTCGAAGTATTCCATGTCGATCTTCAGTGCGCTCACCGCAGCCTTGCAGCTATTGAGTGGGCCTTAATCACATGATCAGTTGAAAATCCATCATTGGATCACCTTGATTTCAAGAATGAGGCAACACTGATAGATTCTGATAGATTCTAATAGCAGTTTTGACGGCACCAATAGCCGAGACCTACTGAGTCATCCAAGTTTAGGTGTCCTCCTGATTTCGAGCCGTGGTGATCTGGCAAAAAGCTAGCCTTGCGCCATTCACCATTTAGTCATATCTTGACCACTCAGCCGTTGACCATTTAGCTGAGCTCACTTTTTAACATGCAATGCAATGATGTTCTCTGGAAAAAATCGTGGCATACCAATTATCATCATTTATCCAGTGTCGACCAACCAGTGGGAAACTGGGGGTTGCCACAATGGATGATGATGAGAATCCACCACTACCTGGTAAACGAGGAGTTTGCTCTTGAAAATAGCCATTTATTATTATAATCATTCAACTTGTTGATGTCCACCATTAAAAATGATGATTTTCCAGTTCGTTATCTTAGTTTACCAGAGGCTACGCTAGATGTTTGATTTGACACCCCAGGATCATCAACCCCAATGGTCACGTGTTGGTTGATAGGTTTCTCTACTATGGATTACTATGGACTATCATAGTCCCCTATCATCACTGGCTATTCTAGGATAGGGGAGTATGATAGTCCAACCATGTTTTTTTTCATGATCAACCATCATTCGAGAACCTGGTAATATTAATCATGAAAAATATCAATATATTAATTTTTCATTCAACCATCATTCAATATCAATCATCCCCTATTCTTGAACCAATCTTTAACCGTTAAGAACCATGGGTATTTTCCAACCATTCCTCAGTCGAGAGTCCCAAATTCTCCGGCATCGTGGGGTCAAAATCTGGCAGGACCAAATCGGCGAAGGCCTCAGTATCCACGGGATCCAATGGACCATTCGATGGTTTACAACTGGAGAAAAGCCATCCTGTGGCTGGTCGTCCCTTTTTTTCCGAAAAATGACATACCTGGAAAACACAAACGAGATGGCTTATAAATCATATATTCATACATGTATATACATATATACTAAACTAATACTGGTTGGTGGTTGACCTACCCCTCTGAAAAATATGAGTGAAAGTCAGTTGGGATGATGACATTCCCAACTGAATGGAAAAATATAATTCATGTTCCAAACCACCAACCAGGGATATGATATAAAGGGATTTAATGGCAAAAAAACAACGGAATCAACGGAATGGGAATGAAAATCGGATATGTTATGGGATATGAAACAGAATGGGGTATATAACTAATATAACATCAACTAGGTGATATTATAATGTTATATGGGGTATGGGTCAACCAGCCCATAGCAGGAATCCTTATGAGTATATAAATCCCTATTCATGGATTGATCCATCCCCCAGTATGGCTACACAATCCATCTCTTGACCAGGGGTCTGAGCACATGGGAGTCTTCTCCAGCAAACTGTGGGATCAAACCAGATATCAATGGATAGAATCGAATCCATTTCTCAAGGTCTCTTAAACAGGTCCCCAGAAATCAACATATCGAGATATCCACCACCAAATCAAGGTGTCGTTGCATTTTCTGGTTGGTGGTTGAGCATTTGACCACGGGTCAAACGTAAACACCTCGAAGGTGTTTATGTTCTCTTGGAGTCCATTCTGCTCATGTTTGGAATGTCGCTAGAGTACCGGGCTTGTGACCCATACCATCGTGATGACCTACAACAAGGTTGCTCCCAACCTCCTGCCACAACGGGGGACAGTGGGTTACTTTCAGCAGTATATAAACTATTCATATCTATTCATCAAAACATTGACAAATAATGACACATAAACCAATTACTGTATTCCCCCTTGCACCTAGCAATTCTAGCAATCTATGTTGAGTTTCAGCAAGCCTGTGGAATCAATGTGAATTTTGACGCCTGGGACAAGAATTGAACCTCCATCTGATTGGTGGTTGAGCGATCCCAGGACCCCGGGGAGTCATTGGCCCCTTCGTATGGATGAAGGTAAAGAAAATTGAACATTCAAAACCACCCTGATAATCTCATATCTAGAAATCCCACACCTGGCCCCAACGACCATCAACTACCCTCTGGTAATCATGGCTACAGTAGCTGGAAAGTCAGTCCACTATAGTTGATTGTCCCAGCTATATAGGCTATGCACTATACACCTCTATTTTTGAGGGGCCAAGGTGATTACTGGAGGCTAATTTTACAACCCCATGAAATTCATGGCCTCCCCAAGAGTCTTAGCCCATGGACCTCGCTGAGCTCGCGTAGGTAGTCCAAGATTTTGCCGAAACTATGACAGTCGATGGAGAGCCAAAGGGGGGCCAAACGTCCACGCCATTGGATCTGCTCCTGCAATACGTGGCACAGGAACCGGCAAGGTGCAAGTCCACTGATAATGGCAATGGCCATCAATGGCCATCAATGGTGCAGCTGCACTATTTGTTTTTAAATGGTAGCTACTTTGTTGCTTGCCTTGTTTGGCAACATTCAAGAGTTCTTGCCCGTGAGCGATCTGCTGTCCAGGTTTTGGGGACTCCATTCGCATTTTGTCCCACTTAGTATGAGACGACTGACAATCCAGAAAATGCCATAACTCATTCGGCATCTGCCAGAAGTAATCATAAGAATCAGAAGTCACAAGTATATGTTCTGGTTCTTTATGATTCTTATGATCATGGTCATGGACCATCATTGGGACATCACATAAGTGGTCTGTACTTGATGTGGTAAAGACAACAATTCACCATGCTCAATATGATCATGGATAGAAATGGGTATGTCTCAAAATGAGGAGTGCGGCCCGGGAAGTTTGACTAGGGGGTATGATTCGTGGGTATGATTCGGGGTATGGTTCGGGGTATGGTTTGGGGGTATGGTTCGCGGCCCTTGGGATCGATTTTGCTAATTAATGCTATCTATATCCTGCATGGAGTATATGGGTCTCAATGGCCCTGGGATCGATTTTGCGTGCAATGGTGCTAGTGAAGGGTGTGCTGCACGCTGCAGGGTGCAGCTGTTAGAGGGGCGTGTCCGCTCTGGAGCTGGCTGGTGGTGCTGCTGCAGGGTGCTGCTTCAAGGTGCTGCAGTCAAAGTGGTGTGCGCGCTTTGGAGTTGGCATGTTGGTGCCATCGCAGGATGCCACTGCAGGGTGCCGTTCCCGGATTTTTCTCAGAAGCAGCAGGAGACGTAGTGTAGCCCGTGGCGAATGGTTGCAAAGAAAAAGATTTATGCTCACAAAACACAAGTTCTGATCTTGCAAATGTACCAAGGTTCAGAATTGGGAAGTTTGAGGTATGATTCGGGTATGATTCGGGTATGATTCGGGTATGTATGGTTCGGGAACCCATGTTTTTTTGGAATTCAGGAAGCTTTGTTGCTTGAGTCTCTTTTTCCCACCGTCAACCTACCACAATTGCTACTTAATAGCAGACAACACAGCAAGCAGCCAGCCACGCAGCCAGCCAGCCGCAACTAGCCAGCCCTATAGCCAGCCACCCAACCAGCAGCAGCAATTGCCATAGCCACCTAGCCTAGCCAGCCACGCAGCCAGCCACCTAGCCAGCCAGCCAGCCTCACCACTCATGTCGTGAAGGTATGTGAAGGCAGCCAGGGATCATCGGATCTGGCCAACACTTGTCAATTGGCGTGTCACGTCCATTAAAACTAGTGAGGCCATGCAATCCCAATCGATCCCAAAAGAAACATTCATAATCGTGATTTTTTGGGGTATGATTCGCAGGTATGATTCGGGGTATGGTTCGGGGTATGATTCGTGGGTATGGTTCGCAGAACTCGAACTTCCCACCCTTACTAAAATCTGCACACCTGAAAAAAAGGCACAGCCAAATGCTTGGCCTCCAAGGGTACCACGCTATGAACCTGGGATTTGTCAAGATCTGTCCTTGATGGATTCTATGGCAGGGACTGTCACCACTAGGCTGCTGCTTTGCGGAAGACGCAGCAGCTGCCGTTCAGAGCACGGCTCCCACACCTGGGCTCGGGACTGCTCGGAAACCCCATGGTGACTTGGCGTTGCCCCATCTAACCCGATTTGGGAAGAAATGTTGGATGGGAAAATTGACTTCGGAAGCCCATGGCTACCTCCAACTATATAACACCAGTAGGGTTTTCCTGATGATCCCTTCATCCGATTCAGCGAGAGGAATTGGGGGTCCCAGCTGAATCCCCCCATCTGGGTTAACAAAAAAATCATCTCCGAGTCTCCGACCATTCAAAATCACCATCAAAATTTCCTGTAATTTCCCCATAGTTCCAGCATCACCAGCATTTTCACCAGCAAAATCACCACATTCCGCATCATGAAACGCCAAGAATCGGTCAGGCCCTGTAAGGTTTGGCTGAAGCAAAGCATCTGAGCATCCAGTTCCAATCCCAAGCACCAGTTGAACTTTGCGCGCAGCACCGGATCACTGCCATGCTCGCCACCAAGTTCCAAGCTCAAGTTTGGCAGTTGCCTCAGGATATGTGCGAATGATCCCAAGGCTGGATTTCATCTCTAACATGGGCTGAAATCTAACCTGTTCCAATGGTGTTATTTTTCACATGATCATCTAACTAACATTGCTGGAAAATGCCCTGTGGAAGCAGATGATTTGTGCACTATGGTTGCCAGCAGTGTTTGAAGATGCGTATAGAACCAGAAGCATTGAGAATATACTCATACCATATCATACCTGACAAATCATACTGCTGCTCCAACAACCACGGGGGATATTCACCTACCATAAGAGGGACTGTAACAAAAACTACGCTTGGGCGTAGGCAACGAATCATAGGTTCACAATCACTAGGACATACTAGAACTAATTATATTATATCTATGATAACACCCAAACAGATAGAACAATAATGTATCACTAAATATATATGTTTGTAAGTTTTTCCTTGTTTATCGGGGTAACTCTATATTATACATCCCAGCATCAAATGTTTACATCTTTGGCTTGGATAACGGGATCAGATCTCAGGTCCTCAGTCGTCCTTTCTCAGGTCCTTCTGCTGCTCCCCGAGTTACAAATTCACGGAGAATTGCCAATTTCGAGGAGAAGGAGAAGCCAATTCGCCTGCGCTGCGAAGATTTCGGAGTCAAGATTCATTGTTCCTGACTGGATCAAGACCGAATATGTCTAATTAATCTATTCTGACCATTTCTGACCATCGTCTGCGGCACCAGGATCACTTAGAACCACAAGATTGGGATCACTCAGAACCACCGGATCACTTAGAACCAAAAGGCATCACTTAGAACCACCAAATTAGGATCACCAGAACCACCAGTCCAGATGTTGATGGTTGAGGCTGCTATAACCAGCATGGTGGAATGAGCCCTTTGGGGTAACACTTGGGGAAATGGGGTGGGACATGGGGTGGGTTTAGGGCACAAGTGGGGACACGGGGCTGGGGCGTGGGGTAGGTTTAGGGGACCAGCCTGGTGGAATGAGACCTTCAGGTGTCACTTGGGGACACGCTGGGACACGGGGTGGGTTCAGGGGACAAGTGGGGACACGGGGCTGGGACATGGGGTGGGTTTAGGGGGCCAGCATCGTGGAATGGGTAACACTTGGGACACGATGGGGTGGGTTTAGGGGACAAGTGGGGACACGGGGCTGGGACATGGGGTGGGTTTAGGGGACAAGTGGGGACACGGGCCAGGGCAACACTCGGGGGCACGGGGCTGGGACATGTGGGAGGGTTTAGGGGGACAAGCGGGGACACTGGGCTGGGACATGGGGTGGGTTTAGGGGGGCAAGTGGGGACACAGGGCTGGGACATTGGGTGGGTTTAGGGGACCAGTTTAAGGTAACACTTGGGGACACGGGGCTGGGACATGGGGTGGGTTTAGGGGACCAGCATGGTGGAATGAGACCTTTAGACTAACACTTGGGGACACGGGGCTGGGACACGGGGTGGGATTTAGGGGACCAGCATGGTGGAATGAGACCTTTAGGGTAACATTTGGGGACACGGGGCTGCGACACGCAAAAATTTAGGGGACCAGCATGGTGGATTCCACTAGAGCACCAGGGAATGAGACCTTTAGTCGTACACCGTTCTGGACCTTTTTATTCTTAGGCAACTCATCCATCTATGCTGCTGCTGCTGCTGCTGATGATGATGATGATGATGATGATGCTGATGATGATGCTGGTGATGATGATGATGATGATGATGATGATGATGATGATGATGATGATGACGATGACGATGACGATGGCGATGGCGATGACGATGACGATGGCGATGACGATGATGATGATGATGATGATGATGATGATGATGATGATGATGATGATGATGATGATGATGATGATGATGATGATGATGATGATGATCATGATGATGATTGTGATGACGATGTTGATGATGATGATGATGATCCTGATCGTGATGATGATGATGATGATGATGATGACGATGACGATGACGATGACGATGACATGACGATGACAATGACGATGACGATGACGATGACGATGACGATGATGCTGATGATGATGATGATGATGATGATGATGATGATGATGATGATGATGATGATGATGATGATGATGGTGATGGTGATGGTGATGGTGATGGTGATGGTGATGGTGATGGTGATGATGATGATGATGATGATGATGATGATGATGATGATGATGATGCTGATGGTCGTGATTGCAGGGTGGTTCTAAGCGATGCCAATTGCGCGGTTCTAAGCGATCCAAATCCCGTGGTTCCAAGCGATCCCACGACCATCGTCTGCACTGGCCAAACAAATTCCCAAGAACGACAAACAACAAAAGACGCTACCATTCGTACTGTCGATCTGCCAAGACAAAGCCAAGCCAAGCCAATTATGCGGTCATTATCCCATTTAGGGATGGACAAGTAAAATCATCCAATATCGCCAGTGTTGCTGGGGTATCCCCAGTTGTTTGGTAGATTCATTCACCTATCCATGGGATCCAGCACATCAAACAGGTCAGATCCGCTGCTTCCGAAGGAACTGCTCAGACTTGCTCTCTTTTCCATCATGGGCGCTGCATCCTCTGGACATTAAGGGCATTTTTTTAGGCCTGGGCCTGCCAGTTCGACTTGGAGTCATTTTAGGTCGCCAGTAAAGGAGCAACATAGACCCTGAAAAAATTGAAATGCTCATATATACTTGTACCCCCACATCATGATTTTTAATAGAATTGTCCACTATAAATATATATATATATACAACTTATAGAACCATCCATATTTTGGGGTACCCCCATGACTACGGAAACCTCCATATGTTGAGTGGAAAGTCATCTTTCAACCCCCAACTCATGGCAGGGTAGAGATGGGTAGAGCTGTTCAAGCCAGGTGCATCACTAGACACGCTACGACTCCCCAAGCCTTCAAAAGACTCCAAGCTTGGACAACTCTCGAAAAACACACACATTTTTTGGGTCACATCCAACCAAAATCCACAATCAATGGATTGGTTTAAGGGAAAATCTACAGGAAACCATCGATTTTCCCATGAAATATGGGGCTTTCCTGTAATTTTTCCCTTCAATCAATCCATTGACACAACAAATCGGGTACTTTTAGGTCACATCATGTCACATCCAACCAAAATCCTATGAAATCTCCCATGAAATCACCGTTTCTCCGCACCGTTTACTCCAGATCGTTCCGGTGGTCCTGTCGGACCGAGCCCCAGCGCCGCAAGTGTCGCGTCAGCAAGGCCAGCTGTGGAGCGGTCACCAGCAGCGAGACGCAGGGAGCCAGGATGTTGAAGGCCTGGGTGGGTGAATGATGGTGGAAAATGATGGGAAAATGGACGTTTGATGATTATCATACAATATGATTCAATGATTCAGAATGATTCACCATAATGATCATAAAATATCAGCATAATTCTGGGAAATGAATGTTTTATGATAAATGTCACCATCATTCATTCACCATTTCCACCGTAGAAATGGGTGAATAATTCTAATGATGGTGGAAAACGTTGGAAAGTGTCGGAAAAAAAGAAACTATGATCATCATAAAACATCGGATGAATGATGATTTATGATCATGAGAATGGAAGTTTTGATGATATTTATAATGTTATATAATGTGTTTTGGTGAATTATGATTCTTGAGATAAATATTACAATATGTTATACTGTCTTGTTTTTTGAATTATGATTTATGATAATGAGAATGGGTCTTGTGAATGATAATATTGGTGAACGGAATTGGTCTCCTTGTGAACATTTAGACTTTTCATGTTCATGATTTGGGGATGAAATGGGATGACCAGGCAAGTCCATTTTCTGCGAGAATATGACAGAGAGAAAAGAAACAATGTATACTTCTATGGGTTTGGAGTCGAATATAAACTGGAATCACGTGGAAAACAATGGAAGCATCAGATTCTGACCTTTGGTCAATGGTCAATAAGGCCATATTCTGTGGGATATTCCCTTACATAGCCCTTACATAGGCCTTATATATAGTAGGTACCTCAGTTTCCATCTGTAGCAACAACTTCAACACCTTTGCGGCACCAGGACCCTCTGCTAAGTTGGCTCCTAGAAATCATCACCTAATGAATTGTGATAATTCCAAAATATCCTCAATGTACTAGGTATCAAAAGCCACATTTTCATCATTGACCAAAAGGGGATTGAACACTGGAACACGAGATTCCAAAACGTTGGACTATACACGAAAGGGTGTTGCTTTTCAGTACAATGAACCCAATAATCCGATGCTTTTGAATTGTGAAGCGTTTTGGAAAAGTGTCTAAACCGTTGGACTTGGAGTTTCCAAAACGTTACTCTCCCGCCTGCTGCTGTATGGAAACGGTGATGGCCTTGCACTGCATCAGCCTGCACAGCTCGCCAGCGAGTTGCAGAGGGTGGGTGGATTGGTAAAAACTTTTGTTTCCAAATTTGAAACAGAACATAACATGATTTAACAAATGAATCATTGGATCAAGATCCTAAATGGTATGTATGTATGTATATATATATACACATATTATATACTATATCAAGAGATATTAAAAGACATTAAACGATATTAAAAATATATAATATACATGCAGTAGCTGTGGACCATCAAGCCTTGATTCAGGCCACCTGGGCAGGTTTTTAGCGGTTTCAGGGATTTTCCAGGCCTTGAAAAGTCACCAGATCTTGGAAATTGATGAACATTCAGGATGGAAATGGATAGAAACAATATAGAAACTGAAGATCATAATCTGCAAATTAGTGGTTAGGGCAATATATCCCTAGTCATAGCATGTCTTAACAGAAGATTGGCTAGCCAAACTACGCAGTTTGTTGACCCAAACATCCTCAACTCAGCAAATTCCTCGTAAAATGCTTGGTGATTTCCCCATAGCATAGAATGCTTGAACCCCCAATGTAAAATTGCCATAAATCAGGCAAATTCCGTTTGTTGACAGCAAATCCGCTGTTGGTTGACGCTTGAAACAAGCTATGAAACTTAGAAAAAAAAGGATTTGCCATGGAAACATTGGGAACTTTTACCATCGAACAAATTGGATTTGACATTATTTGACCATGGAAACATTGGGAACTTTAACCATCGAATAGTTAGGCCAGTTAGCCCATCTTGGGCACCATCTTTTACCCAACATGTGGGATGTTCAACCATCCTGGCCTCTTGGCAGGCGTCCACGCTCCATCCGATTGTGCTGGCAGCGTCAAGCGACGATCCAATGGGACGACGGTGGGCAAAAACCAACTGCTGAAGTCGCCTCACCACGAGCTGATTTTTTTTACGGTCAAAGGCGATGTAAATCACCAGGAAACATGGGGATTTCACCTATTTCACCTGCAAAAATGAGGATTGAAACGGCAGAAAAGGGAATTAAACCTTCAAACATGAGAATTGAACCATCAAAAATATGGATTTTGTGTGAGATTTAAGAAGCAAAAATTGAGATGTGTTACGAGCAAGAGTTGAGGTTTGACTAAGCAAACTGCGGATTCAACCAACACATCTGGATTTAAGTATGTTTAAGCGACCAAATTGAGGTACTGATGGACAACAATTTGGATTTGCAAGCCGAAGAAATTGGCAAATCGGGACGAGTCACGTATGGTCACGTCATTCAGTACATGGTGCTAAAGATTGTCAATCTATTATATCCTGTTCATTATGTGTATGTATTTATATATATATATATATGTATATATATGTATATATATGTATATATGTATATGTATATGTATATATATGTATATATATATATATGTATGTATATATATAAATGTATGTATATATATATGTTATATATATTCATATACATATATATTGTGTATATATATATATACATATACATATATATTGTATATATATATATGTATATATTGTGTATATATATATATATATACATATGCACTATGTTTGTCCAACGCTCTGAAATTTGACCGATAATGATCTGAAATGCCAGCTGCTATTTACTTACCAAAGTTATGGTCCAGACGCGACTTCCTGCAGTTTAAATTGTGCCGAAACGTTCAGGAAAAGACAGGGATTATGTTGACGCAAACACGAGTTCAAATACATGTTTTTTACTGTCTCTAGACAGCTTGTAAACCGAACTCAGAAACCAGGAATGCTTTTTCCTTTTCTACCTTCTAAATCATCTACTTTCAACTTCACAAATTTCTACAATATTCTACATCAAAATCCTTGGGACATGGAATCAAGTCAAGTTTTCACACTATTTTGACAGAGGCCAAACAAGCCCAGCGTTTTTTGACGGCCAAGCCACTCAGTTGAAAGCACATGCCATCCCCAGCGTCCTGCACAGAGTGAACATGCGATGGTGATGCGATCGGCTTCTGGTGCTTTATCCCCTCATTCATCTGGCTCAATTATCTTCATTCACTATGCTGAAATAAGGTCGTTTGGGAATGGTTCCCCAAATTCAATACTCATCATTTAGATTCAGCATCTCATAGTAAGTCCCAAAAAGATCTCGAACATGTGAATGATCCACAAAAGATCCGGATCGGACCCTACTTACATGTACTAAAAAATGTTGAATTCACCACTTGAATTAAGGATTGGGAATGTGCCGTCTCCTCACTGGAGATCACATGAAAGCTGACCACCATGGGCTGCAAGACCTCTTTGCCGGACAACTTGCGGGTAAAGTCCCGACAAAAATCCCGTAAACATATCTTGGTATCCACTAGATTCACGAGATTTTCCATTCCATTCCCGTAAAACGGCTGTTGTATGATGCAAAAATTCTGGAAACTCTTGTCATTTCACGTAGCCATGGATTACCCATGTGTGACTCATGATGATTTGCCGATTTCCATAGCCATTTCCATGTTAAACTGTTAGATTGCCAGAGGGTAGCTGCATGACCCATGACCGGCCACTGAGCTCGAGGCTCCACAGGGCAGTAAAAGCTTCACAGGATCCTCGGACATCTAATTCGCGGCAGTGGATGATACATGGCTTGTGTATACATCTGCAGTATGTCTATCTGTAGAAATATGTAGACATAATGTGCATTGTCATTGCATGCATCAAAACAGGTATCTATGCATATATATATATATACATACATACACAGAATTATGTATATATCTATATATATATATACATACACAGAATTATACATATATATGTATATATACACCTTTACTTACATGTATAAACAAACACAGGAATATACAAAGACCTATATATATTTATATATACTTGTATGTATATATATATATATTTATTTATTTATGTATGTTGATACATGTGTACAAGCATATATATATATATGTAAATATGTAGACATGTATAGCTATACATATATATATATATGCATACATATATATATATATATATTTATTTATATACAAATACATGTATATATATATATACATACTCATGAAAATCTAATCATGTGTATATATATATATTATACACATAATCTAACGATGATCTGTTCTTGGTCTACATGCCACTCCTGGATCGTGCTGTACATCGTACCAGGTGGATGACAATGAGATATGCGATCGATAGGTCAACCAAGAAACATCATGAGAATTTCACCCAAGTTAGCACAGAAAAATCAACTGGTTGGTGATTGACCTACCCTCTGAAATATGAGTTTGTCAGTTGGGATGATGAACTTCCCAATATATGTAAAAATAAAAAATGTTCCAAACCACCAACCAGTCAACAACTACCCGCCGGTAATCAAACATGGCAATGGGACATTGCTGCACTAAATGACGGTTTTAGTGGGAAACTCGAACTAAATGAGGGATGTCTGATTGCCATATTGGAATACCAGTGACATCATCAGAATTATTGATTATATATCCCATTGATATGGGGTTGTCTGAAAATATGGTATCCCCTCCATTGATTTATGAATATGTTCCCTATTAAAAAGGCTACTTGGGGGAATAAACCATTTTCAAACACCCCCATATCCATTGTTGTCCCAAATCCATTTATTTCAAGCTTTGTTCCCATGCCATTGCTCGTGACTTGCCACCAAGCAACAGTGCAGCTCACTTGCCTTGGTACTCCCCCTTTTGTTTGCCTTCATGGTCTTGAGATCTGGATATCATTGGGAATCTGATTGGAATGTCATAGGAATTTCCCATAATAACCATACCTGGTTGGTGGTTGACCTACCCCTCTGAAAAATATGACTTTCTCAGTTGGGATGATGAACTTCCCAATATATGGAAAGTCATGAAATTCCATGGTTCCAGTCACCACCAATCAAATACGGAATCTCCCAGTTCGTGGAATATTTGCAGCCTCCGGCAGCTCCATGGCTGAACCTCCAGTAGTGGTTTATGTCCAATTGGAATCATGGGAATGTCACAGGACGAATCAATCCTGTCCAAGTCCAAGTCTAGATCTGGCGATCTGGACCCACGAAACCACCCAGCCTTATTGCTACAGTTGGTGACCAAAGATTTTTGGGAAAGCGACCAATTCCCCATGCAAAATGGTGCACCCATTCAAACCCATCTTAATGAAATCCCTAGTTTTCATGGTTTAAAAACCCTCTGGTAAATTAACATAGCTATTGAAAATGGCCATTTAGTTCGCTGATTCGCCCACTAAAAATGCTGATTTTCTATGTTAGTCTACCAGAGGATATCCCCAACACATGTGAAATCATCAACCGATTCCCCCTCTTGTGACACGCTTTTTCCCCGCCCTGAGGCCCTTTTTGTCGACCAGTTACATCTGCGGCCATGGACACTCACAGGACCTTCGCGGTACAAGTTGTGTATGGCATCAATCATCTATGGGAAACGGTGTGGATGTGTGGGAAATAGTTTGGTTTCAAACATCTGTGGTTTCAATAATCATGTTTTTTGTTAAGCCAATCTGTGGGAAAATGAATGGGAAATAGATGGGAAGTGGTTTTAATATGTTTCGATCACCTATGATGATATGAATAATCTATTGGGATAGATATATCCAAGATCTAAGACAAGAAATAGTATTGGTTTCAATTGGTTTCAATCATACTTGGGAAGCGGATCCAATCATGTCCTGGGACAATTTTTGGGGTCAGCGACTTGGATGGGACAAGGACCCGGACCGGACATGGCTGGCTGTTTATGATAAGATGGGGCCATTCGACGCTGCTGGTATATGTGTATGCATATATATATATATGTAATCATACATATATATATATGTAGATGATTGGTTATAAGTTATAAGCCAAATGCATTATGAGCCAGTTGCATATAAATCATGATTCACCTTGACTTATAAAAAATAAGTGGTATACAACTGGGGGTTATCCCATTTGTTTCTAGAAATAATAACCAACCAAATGAGCGATGAAGAGAACAAAGTTGCAGAGGTTTCAAGTCCATTGGGCGACATAGTTGCTATGGAACAAACCCAGGTACCATGGTTTTCACATCAACATAGCTGGTAAAAGGGTCCCAACCATCCCAGGTCGGTGACCCAAATAATGGTTGTGTTTATGGAGGCTTAACTAACCACCAAGCACCATAGCCAATGGCTCAAAGCATCAGTGGAATCTATGATTGGGAGGGGGTCATCTATGAATCCATGCTGGTGGGGATTGTTTATCAATATAGGCTTATCTGAAACATGATGGGTACCTCAATATCTGATGGGAAACATGATCATTTTCCCTATGAACATGACCATTTTAAGGTGGTATACCAAACCACTTTTTCAGACACATCCAAACCATGCTATTTGGTTATATTCCATAAAAAATCACCGCTATATCTCCACTAGATTTGTATTTGATACCATCATTTTTGGACAAAACCAAAACACCAAACATGACCAAACCAGCTAATGATTGTGTTTGTACCAGTAGGGGGCTATACCACCCTTTATGTATACAGGAGATGACCGGAATCTGTTGTCGCAATCCCCATCAACTAACCATTGCAGGGCTATTTCTCAAGAATCGTCATATTATTATACTTCGGGGTGCAGGCCAGATGTTATTTTTATGGGTACAACAACGGTACAACCGGTCGGTATTTTATTCAAGCCCCCATAAGTTGGGATATGGGGCCCCTGACACTGTAACTATGGTGGCAAATGGAGGTTCCTAAAATGGGGTACCCCCAAATCATCTATATATCATCTATTTGAAGTGTATTTTCCATGATGAACCATCCAGCTAGTGGGCTAGCCCCATTTTAGGAAACCCCCACTTCCAAGGTGCGCTACTTGGAACAGACTCCGAGATCACTGGGCTGCCAGGGCACCACTCCAAAGAAGGCGCCTCTACTTTGATGGCACCCTGGAATCTAAGCTGGACCTTCCATTTCATGACTATCTATATATATATATATGCAAACCAATGGAGATATGGGACTTTTTCCTGGATCTTCCTCTCAAGGAGTGATGCTTCAAGGTACCCACTATTGGTTTAGCTTGTCCCCATCATGATTGATTTCACAATAAGCAATGGGGAGAATTGGAATATATTGGGGATTAACAAAACATTTTATGGCAATGTCATGGGGATGTAATCAGCTCCATGGCTTTCTGGATCAGCAATAAGTCGTTTCTTTTTGCAGCTGTAAACCTCTATGGCTAGGGGATTTCTCAGCCATGTTTGAGGACACCAATCGATAACTATAACCCCCGCGAAACTCACCGTGTTTGTTGGTGAGCTGATGAAAAAAGATACCACCATGTTTTTGTGGCTTCACATGGCCAATCTTGGATGCAGCAAACAACAAAAACATCTTTGGCTGGTTAGCACAGTTGGCACAGACGTATACAGTATAATTCCATTGTATTTCCATTTATAGCAAAAGATTGGTTCCTACTTAACTATCTTTTCGATCATCCAAGCTTTACCCAGATATTCCAATTTTCCCAGTCACCCTCTAAAAAAACACTTTGCTATGGAAAATCCCCATTTTTCATAGGTACCCTCCAATAAATTAACATAGACCCTGCCAGATAGGGCTTGGAAGATTTGTTTCCACTAAAAATTGGTGATTTTCAGGGTTGAACTGTTTATTTACCAATGGGGTAATTAGGGTAAATCACTTTATCACTTTGCTATGGAAAATCCCCATTTTAAATAGGTTTTTGATTGTGATTCTTTTTTGCTAAAATCCACTTTCTCTGTTCTACACGGGGTCATAATAATAGGAAAGAATTAGGATAAATCGTCCATCAATGGAGCATTTTCCAGAGCAGTGACCAGAGGCGATCGCCTCAGCGCAGAACTCCCGGACTTCGTCCGCGACCTCCAGCTGCATGATGTCGCCCATCCTGACGAAATTGTAGATATGCAACTGGTTTCTGGCCCAACAAATCTAACACTATATATCAGAGATTATATATTTTTAAAGTACGTGCAGGGATTATTACAGTAATTGATATTTTATTGGGATGAACATCTCGCTACACCAGCTAGTTTGATGCAAACATCCTGGTGCCATTGGATTTTGAAGCATAGCCTCCGTAGCTACACCACGTCCCTTGGATTCTTTGCCACTGCTTGCCACTAGCGGCACTAGCGCTCTTTGTGAGGGCCCTCTTTTTTGGCCCAAACCGGAACCAAAAGCCCACATGTTCGGGGGCCAAAGTATGACTATGAATCAAAGCCAGCCTCTGTTCACACCAGTCAATAGCCAAAACAGCTGGGGTGCATAGGTATTACATTGTATTTCATACAGTAGGTATTTCAAGGGTATATCAATGTTCATCCCTGGTATTTCAATGAATTAACCATAGGTTTATATACACATGTTTACACCTTTACACCCATCAAAATGTGTGAACCGACACAACTGGACCCCACAGACTGTGACAGAGTTGGTCTATCAACGTAATCATAATCCCAAATATAGAACCAGTTTATAACTCGAGGAACTAAAATCTATATAATATATATATATACACATACATATAATTAATATAAATTAATCCCATTGCATAATTCATAACCAACACTAACCAATCCACATTCACCATGAAATGCCAAAAAAATCCTGGCATCATCCACCGATCCCGAAAAATATGCGTCGGATCCGTTGCTTCCAAGGAACAAATCTGCTTCTCCATCCAGCATCAAGCTGAACATGTTGCTCAGCAGAATCAGAAGGCTCATGGCTTCCTGGGACTCAAAACACATTAATTATTTAATTATCCCGTTTGGGATGAACGCAAAACCACAAGGTGGCAGCGAAAATTGTGCTTTAGTTTCACCTGATAACAAAAGTCAGGTCACCCATGAAAACAGCCCCATCAAGCCTAGTTGGACCAGTTTTGCGTCAAGCTATCAGAAATACCCACCTCAGCGTCCAATTGCAGCCTCAAATCTCCCAGCCTGCAGTCGTGGGACGGTCAGATCATTGCATTTTTTCGGAGATAAAGAACATATATCAGAATGATATGGCAAAAATAGTAAGAATGCTCATATATATATATACATATATATATATATCAGAAACGTGACAACAATAAAACTCTAGAAATTTGCTAATAAACATTGGATATCAAGAATGTTAGCTAATATAGTATATTGGCTAACATTCTTGATCTGCAATGTTTATTGGCAAATTTCTAGAGTTTTGAGAAAAAGGTTGGGCCCGCCAATATCTATCAATTGATGGCATTATGTATTTATTGGAACCCCCCCGCCCTCCCTCCCCCCCAAATATATATATATATATATGTGTATAAAGTAAAGGCAAGGGTTGAGTTGATGCAGTCGTGTGCTGTTTTCATTTCCAAACCCTAATAATTCCAAGGCCAAACCGGGCAGTGGGCTGATAAATGAGCCTCGCAACAAGAAGATTCAGAATGCTAGCATATTTACTCACTCAACGATTCCTATGTACCCTCTGGTAAACTAACATAGCTATGGATAATCAGCCTTTTAGTAGCTAAATCATCTATTAAAGGTTCATTTTCCATCACTATGTTAAATTACCAGAGGGTAGGAAGTCAAAGGATAAGAAAATTGGGATTTCACATGGTTTAATCATCTACAGATATGGGAAAATGATTGAAGAATGGGTTCTTTGGTTCACAGCCCTTGGACAGCTTGCCTCACAACGAACTGGCGCGGACCTGGGAAGCCACAAATGGATGGCTGGCCGAGCCACAAAAAAAACATATTATGGTATGTACTATATGTATGTATAATATGTATATATATATATTATGATTGGAGTGTGTAGCAGCATTAATCAGGATCCTTCTCTAATCTTTAGGTTTAAATCATATATATGTATATAGTAGAATATATATATATATACTTACCCTCAAAATCTTTCAAAATCCCAAGGTGTTTATCAATGATTTTAAACATTTTGGCATTTTTTAGATTTTTTTAGCATCGATGTATTGTTCGTTGCCATAGGTGACTCGGTGACTCACGCGCCGTCTGAGATCCAAGCTCTGAAAATCCTTGGAGGCAAGTCAGAAACATCTGGAGGCAACGCTATTTCAATAGCTGCTGGAATGGGGGAATGGTTGAGAATTCCATCATATCAATGGGAATTAGGCCTTATATATGGTAGGTACCTCCAATTTAGGATCCTGAAATGACCATTGATCATATTCTAGAACAAAGCTAAAAACAAGCTGCTTTTATGAGGCATTGGGAGATGCAACCAAGGCTCCCCGTTCCATGGATCTAAGTCTGCATAGAACTCTCCGGCCTTAGTTCCGAGATCCGGCCGGTCGCGCATCCAGTGCGTCCAACAACAAGAAATCATTGAAACATATTGAAACATATTAGAACCATCATTGTCCCCCAGGCATTCCCCCATGCATTTCAGGATGCTTTGACATGGTTTAAATGCGTCAGCGAGACAGAAAATCAGAACCAAAACGTGATGCGCTTGTTGTTAGTCCATTTTGAATTGGCAGTCATAGTCCATCCTCAATCCAGTACCTGGCTGGCAGATCGGCTGAGAGGCCAACATGATCCAGCAGCCGCACCTGACCGGCAGACTCTTTAGACCGCAAAAATATGAGGTAAATGGATATAGGATGGTATGCTTCAAAACCCAAATTTCCAGCCATTGCTTTTCAAATCTACCGGAATAGTTTTTGGGATCCTCGCAGAAAGAAACCACAGTTTGCTGAATATGACCCGTTTATGGATGATATATGATATATCTTTTTACCTATTCAAGATGGTGATTTCAATAGTTATGTTAAATCATCATGTTAATTTATGTAAATCACCAAAGAGCAGTTGAAACCACCACTTAAGTTACGTACGTCCTTCTGCCACAAGCAAGGGATGCGGCGTAGTGTAGTTCCATCAACGAACATATTCGCCCAATAGCAAAGAAAGGCTGCGCCCGAACCAAGCCGCGCTGCTGATCTAAGACCTTTGGTGAAGTGCGTACCGAATGGGTCTTGGAAACCCCTTGTAGCCTGTTTAGCATCAAAATAGTTCTGAAACGGATCTTCATCCCTCCATTTCGGTGGTGTCTTTCCCGCTACATCCACCAAACCTTCTGAGCCCCATCCATCTCGATGCAAATGTCGCTGACCTTGACCTGCCAGGCATGTTGCGTCCAAGTCGACAAGATAAGGAACTGAAATCATGAAGCAAATGGTTCAATACATTAATTGACATGGAACATTCAAGAACTGACATAGAACTAAATAAAATATTTATGGCCTATACCCCAACTCTGATGTTTTTTTAACTACGCAAATGCATTTCTTTGACTTGTTGAATTTGTGAAGATATGCCACAACTCAATTCTTCAGAGGTCGCATTCACATATAACCTCAGTTGGTGTTTTTTAAACCTTCTGTGTCCCTTGATACTGGCTGGTCAATAGGATTTCCCAAAATGGATTGTGAATGATTGTGACTCCTAAATTCATCTTGAACAGTAGAACCCCATATAGTCATCAAGTAAGAGAGGTTTAGCTGCCACTGTTCAGTTATGGTTGGCACTTGGAAGTGCAGTTCCAATTATATTTGTTATATGTGTCACCCTAGTTATTTTAAGGACGCAAATCTCAACTTATGTGGGTTTATAGCCATGGTTATACCCACTTGTAACCTCAACTGCACCCCTACGTATCTGTTTAAACATAAGTATCTGTTTAATCATCCTAAATAAATCGACTATAGATATCTATAAATCAATATAAATCACCACTTCTCCTGGTTAAATCATCAGTTTTCGCTCCTACACGCCTACCATTTGAAAAATCGTGCTCGGATACATCCCAATTTAAGACGCGCCAAAACATATCAAATTTTGTTATATATATATGTATATATACCCGAAGGAAGTTTAGAAGTCAAACTTCCGACAGTATGGGCAAGTGAAAAGCAGGGGTGGAGCAGAAGAATCGAGAAGAGAAGAGCAGAAGAGAGAAGAGGAGAAGAGAGAAGAGCAGAAGAGAGAAGATCAGAGAAGAGAAAGAGTGAGAAGAAAGAAGATGCAGGTGCGCGAAAAGGTAAGAAAGTCGCTAAACAATATGTTTTTTCCAATGATTTGTGGCTCCGGGGGGTGGAAAAGTAGGCTCGCTAAAGCGGCAGGTGCGGAGCCATGTGGTCAGATGAGAGATGAAAAGTTGCACGCCGGTGTGGCGCGAAGCACATTTCCAAGTCAAAATTTGCAAAACACCATATGTTCGGACCACTTTTGGAAGTTGCGACGTCGAAAAAGTGCACGCCGCTGTGGCGCGAAGCACATTTCCAAGTCAAAATGTTAAAAACACGCCCAGATGCTGTTTCGCGTGGCAGGCGCAAGGGAGTGTGGACCTTGTCAAAAGTGAGCAAAACGTGAGGGTTTTGTGGCATTTCCAAAAACGATGGCAGGCGTGGGACATTTGAAGAGGACCTGGCAAGATGCATTTTCCGTGGCAGGCGCAGTACAAGAGACATGCTCATCAGAGATGTTAGGAAGTCCGGGCGCTAATTTCCTGAGACGGGTTGCATTTTGGAGTATCAGATCTTCAGGTTTGCTGAGATGATTTTGCGTGACAGGTGCAGCATTTCGTATGACTTGGCATCACTTTTTCGTGGCAGGTGCAGTACTTTCGACAGGTGGACTGGAAAAATCGCAATACTCATTGGTACGAGGCCGTCAGCTCTGCACTCAACTTTCCATTTTTGAAGGACATCTCGCAGAATTGTTTCGTTTTTGAAGTTGTCAACATCGAAAAATGAGGAAGTCTCGCAGACTTGTTTCGTTTTTGAAGTTGTCAAAATCGAAAAATGAGGAAGTCTGGCAGAATTGCGTCGTTTTTGACGTTATCAAGTTCAAAAATGGAAGAAGTCTCGCTGAATTGCTGCGTTTTTGCTGTTGTCAAGTTTAAAAACTGAGGCAGTCTCGCCGAATAGCTTCGTTTTCAAGCTTGCAGATAAATAGATAGATAGATAGACAGACAGAGAGATAGAGAAATAGATAGATAGATAGATAGATAGATAGATTAGATTAGATTAGATTAGATTAGATTAGATTAGATTAGATTAGATAGATAGATAGATAGAGATAGATAGATAGAGATAGATAGATAGACAGACAGACAGACAGAGAGATAGAGAAATAGATAGATAGATAGATAGATAGATAGATTAGATAGATAGATAGATAGATTGCGAATCGGGGATTGCCTACCCGATTATGTTCCAATGGTTGATGTTGAGGATAAATGTTCCAGTTCGACGACGTCACACGGGCAGCTGCTTCCGCGTTGCTGATCTTTTCTCCAGTGCTGCAGTGGGTCTTGAGCCAAAGAGGCCAGTTCGGATTGCCCCTTTGGTGCTGGATCACAGAGTGTTTAGTTGTGATATTATGCTTGATCCGTAGCCTACACTCTATTCGCACCCCCCACGCATAGCCAACTTTGTTGGCTACGCGCAAAGGAGTGTTCTTTGAATTGATCCACTACACTCGCAGCTGTTCATTTATTGAATTATGGAGAGCTAAAGTCCGTTCAGAACTTCATATCTACATGGCGGCTTGCTACAATCTCTACCAAAAAATGAAGGTTCTGTTCACGTGCATGTAGACACGACGTAGTCGGTGTCTAGCATTGAGGTTCATCCAATGTGGCGTAGCCAGCATGGAGTCTCACTCAAGCATGTGAATTAAAGAAATCAAAACACAAAGTTGACTATGGAACTAGAAGTTTACCTTCCCGTCCCTTCGTCGGTTGAGACGTAGACCGCTGTAGAAACTCAGCGTTTCATGCAATGATGTTCAAAAAAATGTGTGGTTCTAAATTAGCCGGCTCAGAGTCCTCTCAGAAATCATTCAAAATGAAGTAGAGGTAAATCTCGAGCAATGATTGCATCCTCGCATCGCCAGGTTCAATCAGGACCTATGCAGAGGTCAGATCGCTTAATCATCTATATCCCCATCCATAGTATCCCTGTTGGTTCCAGTCTCCGCCACGGTGTGAATAAGATTTTCCACCTTTTCCTTGGTCTTTTCCACCCTTCTTTGGCGGGGTCACTGGAGCTTGTTTTGGCGGAGGAGCGGTTTCAACTGTTCTCCATGTCGCTGACGATGATGCTTTCGCTTTCGACACTCTTCCCAGTGCTGGTGCAGCTTTCGGGGCTGCTTTCGATTTGCCAGCGGCTGGATTGGCACGTCCACGATCAGCAGGAGTCGGGGTATCAGCAATCGCAAGTATGTGAGCTTCAGACAAGTGGATGCCCCACCTTGGTCGTTGATCTTCCCGTTGCTTGATGTGATTGTAGTCATCGATCGCATCATATAGCTTTTGGAGTAGAGGTCGCGGCAATTGTCGGCCATTCTGAAGGATCAGGTGTAAAAGAGATATTCTTCGAAGTGGTGGACGAAGAGCACACACAATGTCAACTGGATTCAGTGTGATTGTGTCTTGAAAGTCAACGTTCCTGAAGAAATAAACAGCATTTACCCTATATGCACCTGCAATGATTCTTCTGACCATGACGTCTTGTCGGTCAAGGGCGTCGCGGGCCGCTGTGGTCTTTCTCATCTCATCCATTGTGGTGTCACGTTTCGACAGCTTCTCCATCTCCTCATCAAAGAATATGTTTTGCAAGTCATCATACGTGTAGCCACATTCAAGGGTATATATGAGAAGTCTTTTGAGTACCACTGCCCCATAGTATGCATTGACGAATCCCTCTTCTCCGATGTCGTCCTTTTGATTTGGTCGGCCGATCTCTTTGTAGAGCTCTTTCATCTGTTGTGCAGTTGGTTCAATGAGTTCACCATTTTCATCCTCGCCCAGGTAAGGTGTTCTTGAGTCCAGGTCCATCCTGAATTTCTGGTTCTGTTGAAAATGTTTCCATGCCGTCCCGATGTCTCCACAGAAGTTCCGTTGGAATAGTCTGTAGATCCTGACGATATGTAATCCAATCTGCAACAGGAGGATCTTGATGAATTCTGGCTGAGCGTCTCCAATTGTGCAAGGTTCGATCGGCAGGACCTTTGATCCAAACTCAATCCGCTGCATCCACTTGGGGTACTCAATCACTGCATCACGAGCTTCTCCAGCCTCGTACTCTTCAATGTTGATTTCATCGACCGTTATCTCTTCATCATCGTTCTCATCGGTCGGTTTTCCTTCTCGATTGAGAAATTTGTCGACCTCATCTTGTTCTCTGAAGTCTCTTTTCTCATCATTGATGTCGCCCTTCTTCGAGGCTTGATCATCATCTCCTTCTTCTGGTTGAGTTTCTTGTTCTGGACTCTTCATGGTGACATCATCATCATCTGGCATCACCTCGTCGTCATCATCATCACCTGTCAAATCGATCTTCACCTCCTCCCATGCTTTCTTGACATGGTCTTTGAGATCTTCTTCTCGATGATGTGATTCGGCCTTTGGTACTGTAGCCACGGTGATCTTGATTCGTTTCCTCCATCCATGACTCACCAAAAATCCTTTGCACATCACACAAATCGATAACGGCGCAGGGGTCTCCATCAGACATGCGGGGCATAGTCGATGGTCCTCTTTGCTAGGATGATGAGTGACTGCCAATAATGAAATTGCATCATTCCAATCCGGATGTCCAGGGAACAATCTGTGAGTATGACTGAAGTGACCGGTCCTGATATCGACAAGTTTTCGAAGTTCGTCTAGATCGGGTGATGATTCTTCAGGCACAATGTTTCCAATGAGCTTGTCAAATCGTTCAATGGTGGCCACCCTCTTTGCACCTTGCACAGAAAGAACAAGTTGATCTCTTCCCTTCGTGATCATGAGACGGTAGTAGTCCTTTTCTCTCCAGTCGTAATACCAAACTGCATCGAATGATTCGAATGGAATTGTTTCTTGGACCGTCTGCTGATAATCGAGGGGAGAACTTGGCGATGGAATCGTACGTGATGTAGATGTAGACAAGATCAGTCTGTTCAATCTTCCTGAATCTCAGCACCATCTGACTTCTCACGTCCCATGGTGCGAATGGCACGAAGAACGTATTGATGCGGTCGCCTCCTCCTCCTGGACGTAGTCCTTCTCTGAAGATTTGAGCGATGTTGTCAAATGTGGTGCAATGAAATCCTCCTCCAAGAGTGTATCCTACTCCAGG